GGGCTCCCGTCTTGCGGATTGGTTGGGAAGCTTGCGTGGATCCGTGTGCCGTGGCAGGGGGCTCGGGCAGCGTCCGCAGCCAGGCTCTGTGCTGGCCGGTGTCTGGGGCCCCTATGGGGCCCCTGGCCCCCCCTGGGGCAGAGCTGGCAGCGAGGTCCTCCTGCCCTCCCTCGAGCTGGACCGGCCCCCGGTGCCCGCCTAGCCCCAGGAAGGCCCGCCCTCCGGTGGGTGGGGTCGGGGCCCTCCCGGGGTCCCTGGGCTGCCCCATGACTGCGGCTCTTTGTTCCCAGGTGACCTCCTTCAGCACGCCCCCCACCCCGGAGCGGAACAACCGGCCCGCCTTCTTCTCCCCGTCCCTCAAGAGGAAGGTGCCCCGGAACCGGATCGCTGAGATGAAGAAGTCTCACTCGGCCAACGACAGTGAGGAGTTCTTCCGGGAGGACAACGGAGGGGGTGAGTGCGGCCGTTTCTGCCCGGAGGGCCAGCCGCGGCCGTGTTTCCTCGCGGTTCGGTCCCTCGTCCCTCGTCCGCAGCTGGAGAGCCGGCGGGCGCCCGTCAGGGCTGGGGAGGAGCTGTGGACGGGCAGACGGCCAGACAGAAGTCCCTGCCCCGAGGAGCTCCCGCTCTGTGGGGAACAGGAGGCACCGTCGGTTTGCAGACTTTTCCGGATGTCGATGGTGTGACTGTTGCACACGGAGGGTCCGAGAAATCCTCGCCTAGTGGGAGGCGAGCTCTCTGGTTGATTCCTGCAGTCGGTGACTTCAGGCCGCCGCTGTGCTCCTCCTCAGTGCCCTCCCTCTAGAGCCTGCACGGGGGTGACCGTCAGGGTCTCCTCAGGGCCCACCTCCCCGCCTGTGGTGACCGGGCGTCTCTGCCTGGGTCTGTGGGGGCCCCATCCAGCCCACTCGTGCCCAGCAGAGTCTCCCAGCTGCCCCGCACCTCCCACCGTCTCCCCGGCCAGGGCAGGCCCGGCAGCCAGCGAGCCCCACGCCGCGAGGGCGGGAGGCACCCCATCTAAGCGGCGGGAGGCCATCGGAAGGTTTTAAGCAGGGAGTGACGGAATCGGATGTGGAGGCTCGAGTAGCACTGAGCGGTCCCTGCAGGGAAGGGGCTGTAGGAGGCAGGCTGGCTCCCGGAGATGAGATGTGGGTGCTGGGCACCGGGCGCGTGCCCTGCAGGGGTGAAAGGGGGGCCCCTGGCCGGAGCTGGGGCCGTCCTCGTTCCGAGCGCCAGGGCCCAGAGACAGAGGGCCCCAGCCTCGACCTGCTCGTGTGTGCTTGGGCAAAGCACCCTCCCCACCTTGGCTCCTTTCCAGATCAGTAGGGAAGGGCCGGTAGGCACCCCAGCCTGCCTCCCTGGGTGATCCATCAGAGCGGGTGGGGCCTCCCAGCCTCGCCCTGGGCCCTGCACGCTGGTGGCCCACTTCCGGTGACAGATGGGCCACGGGGAAGCAGAGAACACGGGGGGGGACGATGAGCCAGGCCCTGCAGAAAAGACTGTCCGGGATGGGGAAGGGGGGTCAGGGACGGCTGGAGGGGCGGGCAGGAGGGAGTGGGGCAGCCACAGGCCAGGGGCGGGCAGCTCTGCGGTAGGTTGGGGCACGGAGGGGCTGGCGGTCAAGGGCCCAGGCTGCGCCAGAGGCCGCGCCGGCCCCTTAGGCAGCCGCCTGCGGTGGGGGGTGCTCCCCTGGTCCTCCCAGGGGCCCTGACTCGGCCTTCTCCCCTGCAGCGGATCTGCACAATGCCACCAACCTGCGGTCTCGGTCCCTGTCTGGCACGGGGCGGTCCCTGGTTGGGTCCTGGCTGAAGCTGAACAGAGCGGATGGAAATTTCCTTCTCTATGCACACTTGACCTACGTCACTTTGCCGCTGCATCGGATTTTAACAGGTAACTACGCTGCTGGAGGCCGAAAACCGGATGGCTTTT